TTAAAAGTGGCCTTTAATTTTAAATACAAGTAGGATGATGAGAACACCCACTTTTTGAGAGGGGAGGCATCTCCAGGCTGATTTTGTTGCCATCACACAATGGCGGCCCTGTAGAGCGCATGGAGCCGCCAAGAAGTGGAGGAGGGTGCTTCTACCTTGGGCTCCCAGTGCTTGGAGGCTGGTGGAGGGCCTGCTGCACCCCAAGTAAGCCTCAAAGTGAACGTGGGGATGGGGGCAGACCTGCGGGGAGAGGCACAGACCTTTCCACCCCAGGCTTCCTCCCAGAAACCCATCTATGCTCCTACCTGGCAAGTCTGCTTTGCTATTAGAGTGATGGCTCCCTTACAGAGGATTCATTTGGTCGCGCAGAGGTGCAGTGCGGGGAAGCTCTGGTCACCAGGAAGCCTATTGTTGTCCTCCAGGGACCAGTGGAGGGCTCACATGTCACGGGTGCCTTGCTTGCCCCATCCACCCTCGTTTGCTCAGTGGCCAGTGGGCCGGCTCCCCTCCTCCTCCCCTTTCACAGGCGGCTGGTGGGAAGAAGCCAGGCCATGCAGCCCCTCAGCTGTCTTGCCCCTCCCTATTCTTTCTCCAACCTGGCTCTCTAAAGGGCAGGAGTACGTGGAGGAAGAGGGCCTTAGGCCCTGAGGTCCAAACCACTGGCTCCAACACAGTTTTGTGAGAGAGCCTAGCGTTCCAGTTACCAGACACAGGCAGCCATGGTGGGGCTCCCCCAGGAACCGCAAGGGCTGACACTGACACACAGACTGGGGCCCCAGGCCACAACATCACAGAAGTAACTAACTAGCTCCCACCTCTGGGCACAGTTAATTCATTTCCGTGAAGAAAAAGGTAATGAGTTGACTGCTTTTATCAGCTTGGGTGGGACCACCCAGACCCAGAAACTTTGCAAGGCCTCCAGGCCCCACAGAGTGGAGGACTGAGCCCTCAGGGCCCACGGCCAAGAAGACGGCCTCCCCTGGTAGCACCTGAGCCCAGCATGCTTAACCAGATTGTCACGAGGAAGCCACCAGATACACGGGAGCCCTGTCAGAGACCACTGGCTACGTTCATCACGAGTGCCAATGCCAAAACGAAATAACGGCGTGCGGGGCTGTTCTGGCCTAATGGGGATGGAAGAGATATGACAGCCAAGCGCACTGTGATTGTGCAACTAAAAAAAGGTAAAGCAAGTAAAAAAGCCATTATTGGATCAAGTGGAAAATCTGAATGTGGACTGTATTAGATAATATTAGGTATTGATGTTAAATTCTGGGGATGTGATAACGTGGCGGAGTTTTGCAGCAGAATGCTATGCTTAGGAGATTCTTACTGAAAGACTTAGGACTGAGACATTGTGACTGTGACCATCCAATGTTTGTGCATGTGTGTGCACACAGACTGTCATGGTTTGAATTATGTCCCCCCAAAAATGTGTGTATCAATTTGGCTGGGCCATGATTCCTGGTACTGTGTGATTTTCCTGTATGTTGTAAACCTGCCTCTATGATGTTAATGAGGGAGGATGGGTAGCAGTTGTGTTAGTAAGGCAGGACCTGATCTACAAGACTGGATTGTGTCCTGAGGCAATCTCTCGAGATATAAGAGACAGAAGTGAGCAGTGAGACAGGGGGACCTCATACCATCAAGAAAGCAGTGTTGGGAGCAGAGAGCATCCTTTGGACTGGGGTCCCTGCGCAGAAAAGCTCCTAGTCCGGGGGAACACTGAAGAGAAGGCCGACAGAGAGAAAAAGCCTTTCCCTGGAGCTGACGGTGAATTTGGACTTTTAGCCTACTTTACTGTGAGGAAACAAATTTCTCTTCGTTAAAACCACCCACTTGTGGTATTTCTGTTGTAGCAGCACTAGATGACTAAGACAGAGACAGCAAGAGTGAGCGCAAGACAACAAAAGGGGGCAGAATGCTCCTCACGTAAATCCCAGCCAAGGGGCTTATTCTTTCAACTTCTCTGTCACTTGAAATCTTTCAAAAGTAAAAGTTGATGGGGAAAGAGGTCATTGCGAAAGTAGCCGCATGGTGTCTGCATTCCTTTCAACCTTACTCTAAACTGGTGTCATATTTTTAAATGCTATAATTAATGACTGTTGTTCCCTGTGGTGATGTCACATTGTACTTTTACAAAGCAGTATTTACTGAGTATGTGTCACCTCCTCTCTTACTGGGTCCAGTATACCTCTGGAAGGCTGTTCAGAGCACCCCCATTCCTGTGGTCACAAATGTGCACCCCGAAACTCACACGGGGAGGGCGCAGCCACACCAGGGATGGCGAGCTGGTGGCAGCGTGGACGGCTCGAGGACAGACCCCGCACACCAGCGCTCCATTTCAGGGTTTATTTCATTGGCTAACACTCATTCTCGACCTAGACAGAAACATCAGATGATTATGACTTCCTTTTCCATCATCAAATAAATTTTTTTGTATGAATAACCAAAAGATTTCTTCTCAACACTTTTCTTTTAATAAGAAGCTATAAATAAATAAAGCTTTAAATGCTCCTGGGTTCAAGTTAAACAGTCTCCGTTTCAGCAAAAGCTCACAGACTCATTGCTCAGACATGTCTGCCCTCCTTGTTCCCGGACTGGGAGTGCAGTGTCTGCAGGGTTTGTGCCAGGAGTGGCCCAGTGGCCAGTGTCTGCTTCTGTCCTTGAAGCCCCTAGAAGAGGCCTGGGTGGGTGGGGTCCTCAGATCCAGGGTAGCTGCCCCACCGTGGCGTCCCAGGAGATGCTGCCACATCAGGATACCTTCGCCCAAAGCAGGCAGTCTGCGGAGTGCAGGGCTCAGGCGCTGCGGGCTCTGCAAGCTGGACTGTGGTGGGCTCCTCCGCCCAGGGCTAGCAGGAGACAGACTGTCTCCCCAATGCAGCAAAGAAACCAAGAAGAGACCTGTGCTTCCATGGGAACTGGGACAATGGGGCATGAGTTAAAACATGTTCCAGTATGTACAAAACAGACCGTGTGTCAGGCCTGCTTGGAGGAGCCTGGTGTAGCTGGGAGCCCTGGGTCAGGTAGAAAAGGGTGGAGCTTCTGCTCGCCTCCCCCAGAAGGAGGCCTCAGCAGCTCCCAGGGTCCCAGGTGGCTTATACTAGATGCCAGGCCCCTTCGGAACCCCATCCTGACCCCACAGGAGCACGCTATCCCAGATGAGCCTCACAGCAAGTTCACCCCACGCAGACCCTGATCTCCCTTACAATGAGCATGGTCACCATCTCACCTTGGTGCCACCCACCTGCCCACCCCCCAGCAGTGTGCCCACCAAGCCTGACCTCATGCCCTGCACTGGCTCCAAGGGGTGGACTGCCAGTGCAGGATGCCCTGAGGGGGACCTCTGGGCCAGATAAGGACCAGTGAAAACTACTTCCTGAGGGGGAGCTTCCCTCAATGCTTGCTCTAGAGACTCCTCGCTCCCTCCTCTGTGGCTATCCAATTCCTTCACTCATGGCAGCAAGAGCAGGGGCTGGAGAGAAAATAGGGACAGGGAAGGTGGGTGGGCCTCCGGCAGGATCAGCTCCTCCCCAGGTGGCCCCATGGCACCCCTGCCCCTTGGGTAAACCCACTTCCTCTTCTAGAGCCCCACGCTGCCCGATGGGGGCTGGCTTCCCCTCTCCACGCTCAGCTCCCTGGAATGCCAGGTCGCGGATCTCTTGTGTGGGGAGGGCACTCTGGGAGGAGACCCTGCCTCGCCTCTAGAGTGCAGGTGTGTGGGGCACACATATAGGAGATGACGCACCAAGGTGAGGGTGTGTGGGGGTTTGTGGGTGCATGGGGTGGGGGTAGGGCAGGAGGGACAGGAGCACAGGACCCACAACACGGCTTCCCATAGGGCCATCAGGTAGACTTCAGGGCTGAGGGAACAGGTCCTGACCAGCCTGGGGGTGGCAGGGAAATACGGAGACAGCCCTGGAAGGTGGTGGGGTGACTATGTGGGCCCCAGGGAGGCCACCCAGAACCGTTTCTTCCAACCCTAGCTGAAACTCTGAAAGCCCAAGTCCCAGCCCCCAGGTCCCCGTGGCACGTGGCCCACGGCATGGCTCAGTTCGATGCGCTCCATCACTGTGATGTGACTGCACTTTATACTCAGGGCCATGGGAGCTGAGACACGAGCCCTCAAATAAGTGTCTAAGAGGCTGGGGCTTGGAGCCAGGTGGCCCCTCATCAGTCCAGAGTGCCCAAACGAAGAGGGGGCACCCTCAGCTCCCAGCCCTCCATGTCTAGGCCTCTGCTTCCCTGGCTACAGCCTTCCCACTCCTGGGACCCCACTCTGCCCAGAACGGGGAAACTGTAGGGTAGGCCCATCTCCCGTCTGAGGGCAGTGGGCAGAGTGAGCCTCTCCAGAGCCCAAGGTCTCATCTTCTCTGCTGCAGATGGGTGGTGGGGGGTGGGGGAGGTGTCGGGAGCTCTATTCACCTCGCAAGGGCTGCAGGTTCCTGGGGTGGGGATGTCACAAGGCCCTAGTGGACTGGGACCAACAGAAGCCAAGGGGATAGCTGGAGAGGAAGGTGCCGACAGCTGGTCTATAGCCCCACTGCTGGACAGGGTGGGGGCTGTGCATAGGTTAGTGCATAGTTGGTGTGGGTCTCCAGGGACTGAACTGGCTCGTCTGTGAGGGGGAGGAGGCCGGGCCCTGGCCTGGCACGGCAGCCCTCGCTCAGCCACTCAGTCCCCATCTGTGCCTGCTTTCTCCATGGCCACACCCACATGCGCTCCCAAGGCGCACTCAGGCCTGGCAGGTCCACTCTGTCTTTTGTCTTCTTCAAACCTTGGCTGCGACGGGGAGGAGGAGCCAGGAGAGCAGGGACCCTACCTTTCCTGACCTCACACCCTTCAAGCATGACTTTCTTTGATGCCCTGGATTTCCACATTTATTTCTAAGAACCCTGGGCTTAGAGAAACAGTAAGACTCTTTCCCACCCCCTCCCACCGCCCCACCCCCACTCCCGTGTTCTTTTCAGGACACGTCCATCTGTTAAACAGATCCAGGCACTCTACATGAAAATCCTGGGTGGGGTCCGTTTGTGTGCAGGTCTGTCTGTCTTGTCATGCCCCCCCTCCCCTGGCACCCATCCCATGAGGCCCTGCAGCAGGCACCATGACCACTTCTGGACAATGTGGCCCGTGTCCTTGGTGGGCCCCTCTCCTGGCCCTGCACTATGAGCCCCGTGGCGGGCACCACTACCACTTCTCAATGATGTGGCTCATGTAGTCCTCAGTAGGCACGCGGCCTGGCTCCTCGGCCTCGTCCCGTGGCAGTGCCTCCTTGGCGCGGTGCAGCAGGCGCTCCTCGCGGCTCCGCAGGCGCTGCTCCCGGCGCTCCAGCTGCCGCTTGTACTGGTAGCGCTGCTGGAAGAGGTCCTTGGCATAGTCGTAGAGCTGCATGTCCAGGTCGTTGAGCTCCTCGATGTGGCGGATGGTGTCCTCGCCCACCTCCACGCCGCCTGCCCGTGTGCTGTTGTACTGCATGAAGGGCCGGATGAACTTGAGGTTGAACGTCCGCTCGAACAGGTACTGCGTCTTGCGCTGGAACTCCGTCAGGCCGAAGAAGGCCATGTCCCGCAGGTTCTTCTTGGCACTCTCGAGCAGCAGCTGGGCTCGCTTGCCCTCAGGGATGAAGGACAGGTTATAGCAGCCCACCAGGCTCAAGTCGGCCAGCATGCGCACCTGGCGGTTGTTGGCCAGGTTGTAGGGGCAGTCCATGAACTCCTGGAGCGTGCAGCCCGACCAGTCTGTGCCCTCATAGCAGGGCGGCAGCTCCTCGGGTGTGGGTGTGCGCCCATCACACATGTGCAGTGACGTCTTCCAGGTGGCACCCCGCTGCACATGCCGCCACTCACTCAGGTAGCGTGACACAGGGTCCCGCAGCAGGGTGATGTAGTAGAACTTCCTGCAACGAGACCAGAGAGGTGGTGAGGCAGGCACGGCTAGGGGGCGGTGGTGTGAGTGATCAGTACTGGGGTCCTAGGCAGGGCATGAAGTGGTCCAGAGTTTGGGCCCTGAGGAGGGGTCCTGACTCCATGGCTCCCTCATCACAGGACTTCAGACAAGTGACCTCCCCTCCGACACCAACCACCAAGTCTAGGTCTCAAACAACTGCCCCTGGGGGAGACGAGAACTTGCCAAGGGCACACAGCTACCAAGTGTGGCCCTGACGGTGCCCACGGTGACTCGGCCCAGGGAGGTGAGGCCTGGGCAATGGGGCAAGTTGTCTGCTCCCACCCACCGCCACCCGACACTGACCTCTCAGGAGAGGAGGACTCCAAGAGGTCCCTCGTCAGAGGCAGGAGAGGCTGTGGGGGCAGCCCCACCCAGGAAGGGCACTGTGGGGGCTTGGCAGGAGCTGAGAGGACCCCGGAGCTTGTGAGGTCGGCCCACTAGAGCTGCAGGGTCACCAGGGTGGTGGGGGCAGGGCCCAACATCGTGGTGTTAGGGGCTGTGGGGGCAGCCGTGGCCCCCTCCCTTTGCCGGGCTGGGGTGGCCTCCTTGCTGGGCTGACCAGTCTCAGGTGAGGTGGAAGCTGCGTGACTTCCTAGCAGGCTCCTTCCTGTTTCACTTTTCCTTTGCAGACAATGGGGCTGGCTGTGAGATGTGTGGGGATGTGTTCCTGAGGGCTGGGAGGGGAGTGGAGAAGAGGCAGCAAAGGGGATCTGTTTGGGCTCCCACTCCAGGCTGCGATACCCCCGGGCCTCCACGTGGCCTCTGCAGCCCTCTCCCCTCCCGCCTTCGTCTGCCTAATGCTGCCTTGTCCCCAGTGTCACCTCCTAGGGAAGCCCTTGTGTGTCTGCCTCAGACTCTGTCGCAGCGGCAACCTCAGGCTGACTGCCCAGTTACTTGTCTGAAGTGTGCCCAGGGACAGGACGGAAGAGGGAAGGGGCCCAGGGCCTTAAGAGCAGGCAGCGTTACAGGGTCCAAGACAGTCACCTCACCCAGCACCTTCAGGACCCAGTGGAGGAAACAGCCTGGGAGGGTCACTGGACCAGCTGCCCAAGTCCCCTAGTGGGCTCCGCGCCTGGGGCGGGGGGGTCTGTGCGAAAGTGGGGTGAGGGACGTTAGCTCACAATTTCCTATAGGGACGAAGCAAAAGACACGGCACATCCTGACTACTGCTTCTAAAGATGCCAGCACAGACAAATACACACACAGAGTCAGACTCAGTGAGGGCAGCCCCAGGGCAAGAAAGGGACGCACAGACATGCCCAGAGCACGTCCTAACAGTGCAGTCCCTCGTGTGTTCACACAGCCTGTACTGCCCCCAGCCAAGCCTGGGGCCTGCCCCCATCCTGCTGACCACCGTATGCCAACGGGTCGCTGTGGACAGCCTCCTGAATACAGAAATCCAGTGTGATCTGCACGGTCTGCTAAGAGCCCTGCCCACACCACACAGAGTGCAACCTGGCATAGAGGTAAGGACACAGATGCACCTGTGACAGGTGGGCAGTCTGCCTCCCCAGTGCCAGCACCCCATGCTCCACTGACCCCAGCAATCACCCCAGCACCAACGCTGCGCCCCTCAGGGACCAACCCCTGCAGCCTCAGCCCTGCATCAGCATCAGCTCTTGCCCGGCTCAGGTGCCTTGCAAACCCTATATACAGGGAAGGGAGGAGGGGCCAGCTGGGCTCCTGAGGATGCCCCTGCTGGCGGCACAGCCACCCCAGGTCAGCCTTGCTCATCAGACTGTCCATACAGCCCTTGGGAAATCCTTAGCCTGGCACCCCCTTCCACTGTGGTGCCTGCAGGCTCTGGGGATGCCAGCCGCACAGACCACCCCCAGAAGCCCTGAGTCACTTCCATTTCACAGCTGTTGGCTCAGGAAGGGAAAGGCCTTGCTCATGACCTGCAACCTGAGACCTGAGAGCTCAGGGCACCTGCCCTCCAGGCTGCTCCACCCCTGGTCCAGAGAGGGTGAGTGGCCTGTAGGGCTACAGAGTGGGCTGTGGGGAGGGCGGGGTCCTGCTGGCTGGGCAAGGCCCCAAGTGCAAGCTGCCCCTGCCTGGGGAGATGACTGGACTGATTCTCAGATGGATGTGGGTGTCACAGGGGTTTGGGGGCCTATGGACAGGTCACTGGGGACTCCTGGGGTGCCGTCTCTGCCATGTCTGCACCTGCAGGCTCCTTGGAGCTTCCTGGACATGTTGGGAGCCGCTGGCCAGTGCTAGGGCCTGTTTAATGATCTAGGGGACTGGCAGGGTGGTGTGCGGCTCGTCAGCTCTGGAGACCAATTTAGAGGCATGACGAATGCTTCCAGTAGTCCCAAGGCTCCAAGTACCTGGCTCCCACACGGGCATGCACTTGGCAGACCTTGGACAGGAAGGAGGGGCCTCTGCCCCCAGGAAGCCCTGTTGAGAGCCCTGAAATGGGTAGGGGAGAGGCTGTGAGAGGGCCACGGACCATGAGCTCAACAGCCAGGTAGTGGTCCTGCCTCACTCCTGCCCACGGTCTGTGTCCCTGCACCTGATGGACTCTGTGCACCTCCACCCGGCCCATAGCACGGTCACCTCCGAGCTCATCACTCCCCATCCCTGCCTATGCCCTCCTGAGCCAACGTCTTCTCCAGGAGGCCCTCCCTGACCACAGCCTCTGGGAAGGGCAGGGCCTGGGTCAGATGCACCGCAGTGTCCCCAGCACAGTTCAGGCCGGGCACCAAGGGATTCAGTGGACAGTGAAGAAATACCTCATAAGAGCACTGCAGGGTGTGCTGCCACCCCATGCTCCAGATGTGGCAACTGAGGCACAGAGAACTGGGGCTGGTTTCCGCCGGGCGGGATCTATACCCAGGGTGGGATCCATGGCCAGGGGAGGATCCACACCCAGGGAGGGATCCGCAGCCAGGGGGGGATCCACGGCCGGGGGGGATCAACACCCAGGTCGGGATCCCTAGTCAGGGCAGGATCCGCACCCAGGTGGTCCAGCCTGAGCCTGAGCTTTCCTCAGGTTTTCATTGGGCGACTGATGGAACACCCAGAGGTCCTGACCTGGTGGGGACTTCACACACCCAGGGTATGGGGCACCAGTCCCGGCTTAGCCTCATCAGTACTGTGACCTAGGTCCCCCCGCCCCTACACGGTGGACTCCTCCTCCTGCACCAGGTGATCCACTCTGCCTGGGAGCCCCAGACCCAAGTAGGCTGGCAGCCAGGGTGGTGGGTTGCATCTCCACTGGAGGTCCCATGAGAAGGGGTGCCGACACCTGGCTGTCTGGGAAGCCCTCCTCCACCCAGCCAGGATCCAATGACCCAAGGCCTCCTGGCTGCAGCCTTCGCAGTGCTGCCTGGAGGGTGGGCAGGGAGAGGGGCAGGACAGGGACGGTGGCCCTAAAGGAGGGTATGTGCCTGTGGGGCCGACCACAAACCAGGGCCACTGAGGGCGAGAGGCAGTGTGTGTGCTGTGGCGTGGGTGAAGCCACAGTGCTGCCGGCACCTCTCTGCCACACAGCCCAGTATGGTGCTGGCTCTCTAGGATGTGCAGGGAATGCAGGAGGCAGCCCCTCCAGAATGCCCAAGGTGAACACAGTTGTCGCCGCCCCCCCACCCCCGTAGCTTTTCCTGACCCTGCTGTGTGAGGAGGCTGGCTCTGGCCTCTCCTGGGTGGCTGGGTCATGCCTCCTGGGGTCAGCATGGAGTACACACATGTGCAGGAGTGACCACATGCCCACCAGCCCACTCTAAGTGAGCTTTGAGCACTACCGGTTGCGGTGCCAGGCCGGGCCACTGCCTACTGCCCTGCTCTGCTGGCTCCACCTGCCTGCCAGAGAGGTCTTGGTCAGACCAGTTGCTTAGAGAAGACTCAGGAAGCAGAAGGCAGCCTCTAATTCCAGTCCTGGCAGGTGGCTGCGGTGAGCAGAGGGGCCCTCCGGCCAGCACGAAGGACAGAAGGCAGCAGCCTGAGGTCCCGGATGCCTAACTGGGGCCAAGAAGCCCATCTGCAGCCTTCCTTCTACTCCCACATAGCCGGCCTGTCCTGGGTGGCGATGGAAAGAACCTTCTGGGGGCAGTGGGGCCTGAGACCTGGGGGTGGGAAGGCTAACTGCTGGCCATGCTGGCACTGAGTGAGGGCAGGTGCTGTCTGCTCCAGGAGGAGGTGGGCACACCACCCCATCTGGTAGGTGGGTGAGGCTGCAGGCAGGTCTGTCTGTGGTCCGTGAGTCTGCCCACGTGTGTGAGTGTGTGCAGGCTATGCACTGGTGTCAGTGTTTCTCTGGGGTCAGCACTGTGGACATGCGTGCATGTCACTGTCCTCACAGCTGGTTTTGTGGCTGTTCTCCCATCTGCATTCTCCAGGCTTGCCCATGCCAGGACTTAGATGAGCGTGCGTGTGCACCGAAAGGCAGGACACTGGCGTGGGGGACACAATGATGGCCAGGTGGATGCTTTGAAGGGCCACGTGCTGCTTGTGGAGGCCTGGCTCCTGCACTCAAAGGTGGTGTCAGAGCCCTAGGGTGACAGCATGTGCTCCACTCAAATCCCATGCTCACATCTACATGTGACCCAGCACTCTTAGGTCCTGCAGGCTCTGGCTGTCCCTGCATGTCCTGAGGATGGGAGCCTGGCTCCCAGGGCCTCACAGACCATATGGACCATAGCACAGACCCCCTCCACTGCCCTCCTACCTCCAGTCCTTTTCCAGGAAGCGACCCTCCTAAAGGCTTTCAAGATTCTGATGGAGATGATCAAGCAGGTTTGCTAACCCATGCTGACAGCAAGAGCTGGGGAGGAGCCTGCTCCTCACATAGCCCCCTGGAGAGTGACCAGGCACTGGACCCTCACCCATGGGTGCACACGCCCAGGAGGGCAGAAAACACATAGTTCCAGCATGGCTCTGGTAGCCGAAGGCTGCAGACTGCTTGCTGGCGACTGTGGTTGGGGGGAAGGTCAGATAAGCGCTTCCACA